GGCGGGGCCTCCCCAGCTTCGGCGGATTTCCGAGAGGCCTTGGGGCTCACGGCGCCTTTGCGGGTGCCCTGGGGGCTCGCCAGGCCTTTCTTCGGCAGCTGGGGGCTGGACTGGGCTGACGGGGCCTTCCTGCCCAGGGAGGGGCTCTTGGAGCCCTTGGGTTTGGCTGGCTGCTGCAGGGCCTCCAGACTCCTCAGGCCCAGGAGCTCACAGTAGCGGTTACACTGGTGGACAGCAGCAAAGTGGTCCAGCAGGGCCGGGAAGCAGCTCTCCTTCAGCCCCTGGTACCTGCCAACAGATTCACGCTCAGCACCAGCGCCCGGCCAAGGGGCTCTGGCCAGGGCGCCCACCCCACGTGCAGCCCAGGCCTGGCAAGCGGGGAGCCCGGGGGCTGGGGCTGCTGGCGGGTCAGAAGGGCTCAGAGCATTGCTGCACTGTGCTCACTCGCACAGGCTCAAAGCACCTCCGGGCCCTGCCCTTGTGCTGCCTTCTCACCCAGCCTCCCCCCACCATCCCCCCAAGGCGCTGGAGCGTGATGGGGAGGGCAGCAGGGAGGTGGCCCACGGCTGACCAGTGCAGGACAGCTCTAGGGATGTCTGTCCAGCCAAGCGATGGGGCGGGGCACATGCAGCCCAGCGCAGGGGGGCCCCCAGCTGCCCAGTCACTTACCCCTTCAGCTTTGTCGCTATCCTCACATTTGTGATCCTCCAGCCCACACCTGCAATGAAGGGAACAGTCACCAGCCTCAGGCGGAGCCCTGCCAGCTGGCCACCGACTGCCCAGGGCAGAGTTGGCCCAAGGCAGCTGCATGTGGGGGGAGCCAGCTCTCTGCAGTAGTGGGCTGGGCGGAGGGGCACAGGCGGGGGTCCCAGCCACCCCTGCATGGGCTGGGTGGCACAAAGGGCACTGGTACGGGGTCCCTGCAGGGTCCCAACAAACCATGCTTAGGCCCTGAGTTGCCCTCTGACTGCACCTTGAACTCAGTCCCTGCCCGAATTCCTCCTCCCAGTGCCAGGCTCTGAGGCTGAGGGGGGAGCTGGGGCCGGCCAGGCCCTTAATGGAGTCACTGTGAGGCCCAGGGGGCAGAGATGGAACATTTCACAGCGGGCCAGGTTGGGCTGTGAGCGGGCGCTGCCCGTGGTCACCCTGTGGCAGCTTTCGCCGCAGCGCCACCAGCTCCACTGGGACTGGGCATTCTCCGCATGTCAGGCCCCAGGAGGCTGGAGTTGGGAGCCCCCCCCAGTCGGTTAACCACTTAAACCTCATGGGGAACCAATTCAACAGGCGTTTACATCCCTAGCAGCGTCCTAGGCAGGGCAGGGAGCCCAGGGCTTGGCACCGCCTCGGCCGGTACCTTCCATGTCTGTCACCAGGATGTTTCCATTTGTCCACTGGTAGAGCCAGTGCTGGAAGGCGCTCCGCACGGCCAGGCTGCCGTCCTGCTCCTTCCCGCAGTGCCGCTCGAAGGGCCCCGCCAGGTCCTCCTCCAGCGTGGCGTAGGGGACCGTGTTGGCGGGTCGGTAAATGAGATACAGAGGGAGGATCCTGGACAATGGCAAACGGCCGGCTCAGCCCAGGGCAAGTGCGGACATCGGCCCACGTCCCAGCTCCGCCACTGGCTTGCAGAGCGCCTGGCAGACCCCAGCCCAGAGCCCAACTGGGCCAGCTCCGGCCTGACCGTGAGCTGCCAGACATCAGCCATGTCAGTCTCGGGGCCCGCTCGTGTTAGCCCCAGGCCCCTGGGCCCTTCCCACGCGATGCGCCCAATTCAGCTTCTGGGCGCAAGAGACCGGAAACAGGCCACTGGAGCCAGGGGAAGCGACTGTTCTGGTGCCGCCCACCACATGCTCCCACCCCCCCGACACTCGGTGTAGAAGGAGGCTACGCTGCCCTGTGGCCCCGGCGTGCTCCACAGACACCCATCCCCGCAATGATGCTCCATGAAGCTGCCCTGTGGCCCCAGCATGCTCGGGATGGAGGGTAGGGGCCCAACTTACTCGGGCACCGCACCGAAGTCTGGGATGGCCCGGGCTTCAGCCGCAAAGATCTTGCAGTACTCCCGGCTGGAGTTCTGGATTTTACACTCCTGGGGGTTCAAAGAGAGTCGTTACCTGCCCCAGCAAGCTGGGCTCAGCATCCTGCTCCCCCGCTGGCAGCGCCAGGACAAAGGTGACAGCCCCAGAGCGCCCACAGCCTGTGTGGGTGATGGGCGAGTACCGGATAGCTAGGGAGCAGGGTGCAGGTGCTGACCCCAGCCCCGCAGGCTGGTGTGACAGCAGCAAGGCCAGGAGCAGAGGAGCAGGAAGGCCGCTGGGCAGGCACAAGGGGCAGAGGCTGTGGGGAGCAGGTCAGGAGCCTGTGCCAGGGCGAGGGGAGGCGTGTTCCGGAGCTGGGAGAGGGAATGTGGGAGGAGAGACGAGGCCAGAGGCCAGGGCCAGACAGGCTGGGGGGCACAGGGAGGTGCTGAGGAGCAGCAGTGAGTTGGGGGGCAGGAGCCGTGTGCCGGATGGGGGAGGGACACACTCGGTGCAATGCCAGCAATAAAACACAAGCCCAATCTCCCCACATGGCAGGAACGAGGGGGCGTGGCCTGGGCCCACCTGGATGGTGATGTCGTAGTTCTTCTCGATGAGGGTGTTCTCGTTCTTGGTCCCGAAGACGATGAGGTTGTGCACTTTGATGATGCAGGTCCGACCGGACTCGAAGACGGGCTCCAGGCCGTAGATGGCCCTGACGCGACAGGCCTTGCGCACGAACCCGGCGCCCACCTCCATGTCCTCGCTCACGATGCGCCCAAAGAACTTGTCCCCCCAGTAGCCCGAGTCGGCCAGGCCCTTGGCGAACACCATGGGGGTCATTTCGATCTCCTCGCCGACTAGCGGGAGGAAAGCAGCGAGGGGCTCAGCAGGCAGCAGGCTGGGCCCCTAGTTCCCAGGGGGTAGCGAGGGCTGCAGGCTCAGCCCCGCAGGAGGGAGTGGGGAACGCCTGAGTGCTAGCGCCCCTCGGGTCGACAGGTGGCGATCAGCACGCCTGGCATCCGGCTGGCATGAGCCAGTGCCTGGCGCGAGCCCTTGCACGCAGGCTCCGGCTCGTTTGGGAGCAATGGCTGGCTCCAGCTACGCTGGGCTGTGCGGTCCCCCTCCCACCGGGCACCCTGCCCCACACCGGGCACCGCAGCAATGGCCTGGGCAGCCCGCACTGCTCCTCGGCTGCTCCCACTTTACCTTCAATTTCTTCTCTGGAGACAAATCCCGAGAGCACTGGAGGAGAAATGAAGGTCGTTAGTGCCCTGACGGGGCCGGACCTAGGAGCCGATCATCCCAGACCCCTCCCTGCCCTGGGCTCTGGCACGTCCCTGAGCACCCCAGGGACACCCAGAGCAGCTCCGTCGCCCAGGGCGCCTGGCCAGAGACGGGCAGACAGGCCAGCTGCTGCCCTT